AGTCGAGTGTATTTTTTTAATGAATATTTTAAAATAAGAATAGTGAAATATAAAATCGATTTGTTCTCAAATAAGATTTTTTATGAAATTTTTAGTTTTCAAAAAAATATTACAATTTTTAAAAAATACTGAATACGCAATGATGGTCTTTTGGTTTGTCCTATGTAAGATTTACCACAATTACATTCAAATTTATAAACACAATTACATTGATTAACCCATTAATGCCCATGGCAGTCTTCGCACTCGATAATTAATTTTAAAAAAGTAGCATGAAGTGGCTTTCAACCAAAAAGAAGTAGAAAAAAGTAGCTATCGAAAAATTAAACTTGACGACAAAAATACTCGTTTTAGACACTTTATAAAACTGATCAAAATTCCATTCCATATTTTATTTTCCTAACTCTTTCCTAATTTTCATCAATAATTTACTTTCATCACATTTACTTCTTTCTTATCCTGCTAATAAATTGAATTTTTGCAATGAATTTTATTATTCATCAAAGAATTTAAATATTTATAAAAATAATTCAATTCTTGCGAAGGATTTTATTAAATTTTTTAAATAATTGAATCTCTGAGAAATTTGTATTATCCATGAAAAGAATTGAATTCTTAAGAAGATTAAAAAAATTTTTTAAATAATTGAATTCTTTTTAGAAATTTTATGAAAATAGTAGATATTGAAAATCATTAAATTGCAAAAAGTTTTTAAAAATAATTAAATTTTACAAAGAATTCTGAATTCTATTTAAATTTTTTCCAAGAATTATTTTTCATAAATAATTTAAATCTTGGAAAGAATTTTATTAAAATCTAAAAGAATAATTGAATTATTTAAAAAACAAAATTAATTAAAATTTTATTCAAAGTAATTGATTTCTTTCGAATAATTTTATTAAAATATTCCAAAATAATTGAATTTTTCCAAAGAATTTTTAAAAAAATCTTTTTTTAAATCATTTATTTTTTCGAGTAATTGAAATTAAATTTTTAAGAATAATTACATTTTTTGAGCAATTCCTGTGAAATTGTATTAAAAATAATTGAAATCCTGCGATGAATTTTATTATTTATGAAAATAATTGAATAGTTGCAAAGAATTTTATTAAATTTTTCAAAAATAATTGAATTTCTGAGAAGAATTTTATTATTTATGAAAATTATTGAATTATTGCAACGAATTTTATTAAATTTTATTTAAAATAATTGAAATTCTGTATAGCATTTTTTTATTTGTGAAAATAATTGAATTCTTGCGAACGATATTATTAGAATTTTTTAAAACAATTGAATTTCCAAAAAGAAATTTATTACTTTAAAAAATAATTGAATTCTTGTTATGAATAATCTTATTTACGAAAATAATTGAATTTCGCAATGAATTTTATTAAAAAGCCTCAAAATAATTGAATTTTAGGGAATAATTTTGTTAATTATGGACATTTAATTATATTCTTTCAAAGAATTATTTATGTAAATAATTAAATTCTTGGGAAGAATTTTTTTAAAATCTAAAAGAATAATAGAATTATTTCAAAAAAATTTAATTAAAATTGTATCCGAAATAATTAATTTCTTTGGAACAATTTGATTAAAATATTTGAAAATAATTGAAATTCATGTGAAAAATTCCAATATTTTTTTGGAAATAATTGATTTTTTGTTTTAAATGATTTATTAAAATTTTAGAAAATAATTGAATTCCTTTGAAAATTTTTATAACGAATTAAGAAAAAAATTCAATTCTGTCGTGAAGTTGAATTAAAAATTGGATTCTTCCGAAGAAAGTTATTATTTATGAAAATAATTGAATTCTTGCTTAATGTTTTATCAAAAATTTGTTTTAAAAATTGAATTTCCATGAAAAATGTTATTATTAGTGAAAGTAATTCAATTATTTTGAAGAATTATATAAAAATTTTTGTAAAATAATTGAATTTTAAAAAATGTTTTTAAAAGTGATATTCTAAATTAATTGAATTCCAGTGAAAATTTTATTATTTATGAAAATAAATTAATTTCGGATGAATTTTATCAATCCTTTTTTAAATAATTGAATTCTTTTACAAAATTTTATGAAAATACTAAATATTAAAAATAACTGAGTTTCGAATATTTTTTGAAAATAATTGAATCGCATTAAAGAATTTTATTATAATTTTTGAGAATAGTTTTTTGATTTCTAGTATTAGCGAATTTAAAGTAGTGGAAATTCTCAAAAATACAGAAATAGTAGCTGGTGGATTCCACGTCAGTTCAACACACTTATTTTCATGACTTGTTGGGATTTGGCTGTAACCTCAGCTTTCGTTTGCGATAATTTATTTTTAAAAAAAACGGACCGATTTTTGGGTAATTGAAAATTAAATATAAATCATCAAAAATTAGGGTAAATTTTTAAAATATTAAAAAATAAAATACACCATTGGAAAGAGGACGAAAAAACCTTTCAGAAACATATTCTAAAAAATTGTTCCCATTACAAGTATGTTCAGAAAAAATTCACAAAGTAGCCGATGTTGGCAAAATTGGTCAAATTGATCCCCCTCTACCCCCTCCAATTTTTCGAAAAAATCAAAAATATTTTTTGGGTCACATTTCTACTTGATAGAACAACAAATTCCTCGAGTTTCAATTTTTTTCAAGAAGTTGAAATTTCAACTTAGGACATTTCACGTAAAATGCCTCACATATGGGGCAAAATTCCGCAACTGCCCAGGTAAAAAAATGAATTTTCTCTAAACTTTGCTAAAATGTTACTACTATTAGTAGAAGTGTAAATATTATTTTTTTTAAATTTGATAAAATATTTTTTGAGTTATGGAGTTTCAAAATTTTGATTTTTTTGAAAATATCTTTTTTTCGATTTAATATATTGATAAGTAAAATTAATGAAATTTAAAGTATGAATAGTGATTTTTAAAGGGGTTTTCACGGGTTATAAGCTGGTGATGAAAAAAAAGTTGTTTTCTGTCAATTTGACCTTGAAATTCAAGGTCAAATTCTTAATTTCAATATACAGTAGAACCCGGTTAAAACGATCCCGTTTAATACGATTTACCGCTTAAGACGCTCATTTATGGTGGTCCCGGCAAATAAAGACATAAATTTTATATTCCACATAATACGTTTTCCCGCATAAGACGCATTCTTAGTGCGGTCCCTACAGAATCGTATTTTATTTTATTTATTTCATAAACGGGCACAAAAAGTCCCTTTTGTACAAACGTACTTACAAAAGTATACAACAGAATACTGTTAGTTAAAGTAATTACAATTCAATATTAACCAAGTTCTACTGTATTTCAAATTGGTGTTTTTGATTTTTTTGTAACCTATCCCAATCGAAAGCTTACCTTTTTTCATATGAGCCATGTAAAAATCAGAGTGGGACCATGGAACTTTTTGAAGAAATTAATTATAAATCATCATTTTCTATGTAAAATAATGATAAATTATTATTTTCCTCAAAAATTCTCATGGTCCCACTCTGATTTTTACATGGCTCATAGAAAAAAGATCACCAGCTCATAGCCCGTGAAACCCCCTTTAAGAATCACTATTCATACTTTAAATTTGATTAATTTTACTTATCAATATATTAAATCGAAAAAAAGATATTTTCAAAAAAATCAAAATTTTGAAACTCCATAACTCAACAAATATTTTATCAAATTAAAAAAAATTAATATTTACACTTCTACTAATAATAGTAACATTTTAGCAAAGTTTAGAGAAAATTCATTGTTTTACCTGGGCAGTTGAGGAATTTTGCCCCATATGTTCGTAAATTGTGGCTACGTTTTATTTTTTTACTCCGAATCCCTTTGAGATCCCAAGATGAAATTTACAGGACATGTAAAGCACATTTGCCCTAACATTTAGTAAAATTTAAAAAAAAATCGAAGATGATATTTTTTCAAAAACGGATTTTTAATTTTTCAAAATTTCAAAAAAAAAAATTTTTGAATTTTTTTTTATATTAATTTTAACTTAAAATATACTTAAAACCAAAGAAATCCTTTTTTTAAAATCCAAAATCGGTTAATTAGAACCAAAGTTATAGCACTTTCAAAAAAAAGACAAAAATTTTGAAAATGCCATATTTTTGGTAATTTTCAAAATTTTGAAAAAATATTTGGTGGAGTTGTTTATCACTATAAAAGTAATGAATTTACAAAATTACAGCCAAATCCCAACAAGTCATGAAAATAAGTGTGTTGAACTGACGTGGAATCCACCAGCTTTTAGTGGCTAAAATATAAAAAAAGTACCCAGATAGTAGCATAATGTAAAAAAGTAGTAAATAGTAGGTTTTAGTAGATGAGTGCGAAGGCTGCCATGGGTATAGGAACGCAGATATCAAAAAAGTTAATATTGGGATCCTGGAATGGGCTCCAGTAATAATATTTGTCGTTAAAAATTTTGTTTAAACAATTTGTTATAAACAAATGAAGAAAAATTGATTTTTATAAAAAAAACTGATAGCGACATTCGATTCTACGTGAAAAACTACTTTGAGAATGTGTATTACATAATTTTTCAAAAAAGATCTTTGTTGTAATAAATAAATTTGTTTCTTAAATAAATAAATAAATAATATTATAAACAATTAGCCTACATACATACTTTTTGCAGCCCATGGGCACAAAAGAGAAGTTATTATAAAGTAATAATTTTTAATCCTATTATTATGATTATTATTTAAAAAATTCTTACTGTTAGTTTCAATAATGCAAAATTAAATAAAAAATTAGAAACAAGTGAAGCGTAAAAGTTTTTCACATTTGTTTTTATTACTGTGAATTTTATTTTAGGAAGTATTCATGCTTCTTTTTAGATATAAGGTTAAAGTGGCTTTGAAAGGCCATTTGAGAATACATTATCCTCAAACGGATAATATATATCTTCTGAAAAGAGAAAAAGAGAAAAAAGAAGGAAAAAAAGATTGAGGTAGTGAAAAATGTCTTGTTTTACATAAGTAGGATGTCACTTACGTCGTGCAGACCGCGGTGGCATACCCGGAGGTGGAGGCCTCACTGATACTCTTAGGATGCTAGCGGGAGGTCTCATGACTGGCGTACCGTCATCACCTAAAGTCATTTCCATTTCGCGCATCTGCTCCTGACGGATGTTGTCATTATTGTCCGGTATAAGATACTTGCGAACCTCCGCCAGAGCAAATGCGATGCGAGCGTGTGCCTCGGCTGGCGGGGCTAAAGCCGCAATCTCCACGTGAAGATCATCAGAAAGATGGGCGTATTTTGGATCCAATGATTGTCGACATTCCTCCTCCTGTTGACAAATAAATAAATTCTTCAATCAGTTCAATATTAAAATTTTAGCAATTTTTAATAAGTGTCTCACAACTGGACACATTTTTTGTTGTTGATAAAAGCGATCTGCTGGGAAAATTGATTATAACTTTTTTTGAGTCCATCTGAACACTATACTTTCTTTGAATAAAAGCTGTGTATTTAAGTTACTTTTCGAACGGTATATTATATTTACAATTTCGTTTACCCATTTACAATTTCTGGGTCAAAAACATAATCCGTCTCATATCTAGACACACTCCCCTACATAAATGTAGGGATCAAAACGGAACACCCTTACTTTTCTATATGACAGGCACTTCCACTTTTATCAAGGTTCACATATTTCTTTTATATTATATACAAACTCATAATAATGTCGAAAACAGCAATAAAAGTTTTTTTTATTTTATGCAACTTTAATGTCTTGCACCACAACTATAATTTTTGTGGAAAGTAAAATTGCTATAAAACTTTTTGTGATTTTGAGTAAATTTTTACAAATGCGACATCTTTTTTTAACATTTTTTAGTGAATAGTTTTAATAATACTGATTGTAAAATTATTACCAATACTTTTAATACATGAATGGAAATATCAGGGTGGCCACCAAAACTCGTCTATTTCCCGGTTTTTTCAAGGTTTCTAGGAAATTTTCAAGGTTTTTTTGTTGGTTCAAATTTTACTGTAGTAATACTTAAAAAATTCAACTACTTCCACATTTATTATTATTTTTTATTGCCGAATTTTTTATAGGCTTTTCTTACGATTCTGAACAATCAATCGTATAGATTTTAAAAAATTCAGAGTTGCCACAAATATTTAATTTTATTTTTCCCTGATTTCCAGACAGACTTTTTCCCTCACCCTAAAGAATATTCTGCGATTCACTCTAAAAATTATTAGATACTCAAAAAAAAACATTCTATTACATTTACTTACGAATTTCTTAAATTGTAAAATTATTCGCAAACATCAATAACTAAATTTTTAAATAAGTATTTAATTATTATTTTTCCATAGGAATTAAAATTCTTCAAAACATTCAAATTCAAACATTTTTAAAATTAAACAACTTATAAGAATATTATAGTCGACTCGGAGTAATTGATATCTTCATGTTTTATAAAAATTTTAATTTCCATAAAATTTTTCAAAAAAAAAAATTAAATTATTAACAAAAATTATAATAAAATTCTTCACATGGTTTCAATTATTTTTAATACAATTTTAAATAAATTTCTCGAAAAATAAAATTATCTTCAAACATTTTTTGCGAGAATTAAATTATGTACATTTCACAAATAATGGAATTCTTCGCTGAAATTCATAAATTTTCAAAATTTACATTTTTAATACAAGTTTTCAAAAGAATATAATTATTTAAATAAAATGTAAGAAAATTCGTTGCATAAATTCAATTATTTTTACAAGTAATAAAATTTTCCACATGAATTCAATTATTTAAAAAAAAATTGATAAAATTCGTTGTAAGAATTCCATTATTTTCATAAATAATACAATTTTTCACATGAATTCAATTATTTAAAAAAAATTTATAAAATTCGTTGTAAGAATTCCATTATTTTCATAAATTATAAAATTTTTCTGAGGATTTCAATTATTTATAATACAATTTAAAGTAAATTCCTATAAAAATAGAATTATTCTCTTAATTTTTTTGTAAGAATTTACATTTCACGAATATAATGAAATTCTTCGTTGAAATTCAAATATTTTCACAATCTACTTTTTTAATAAAAGTTCTCAAAAGAATTAAATTATTTAAAAAAAAGGAATAAAATTCGATGCAGGAATTCAATTATTTTCATAACTAATAAGATTCTTTACATTATTTCAATTATTTAAAAAAAAATTTGAAAAAATTCATTGCAAGAATTCAATTACTTTCATAAATTAATAAAATTCTTCACACGATTTCAATTATTTTTAATACAATTTTAAGTAAATTCTTCGAAAATTTGACTATTTTCAAAAATTTTGTTAAAATTCTTCGAAAGAATTCAATTATGTATTTTTAAAAATTCATACTAGGTATAATGCTTTTAATATTCAATTATTATCTAAAATTTTAACTAATATTCATTTTCAAATCAATTTTTATTGGAAAATTCTACAAGAATTCAATTATTTAAATACAAAAATAAATAATTTATTGAATAAATGAATGTTTTTCGAAACTAAATTATTATAAAGAATTTTATCAACAAATTTGATTTTTTTCGAAAAATTTTAATAAAATTTTCAAGAATAATTAAATTTTTCGAGGAATTCAATTAAAATTGTATTAAAAATAATTGAAATTCTATGATGAATTTTATTATTCATGAAAATAATTGAATTTTTGTAAAAAAATGTTATTATTTATGAAAATAATTGAATTATTGCAAAGTTTGCTTAGAATTTTATCAACATTTTTTTTTTAAATAATTGAACTCTTTTGAAAAATTTTATGAAAACTGTAGATATTGAAAATCATTGAATTGAGAAAAATTTTTTGAAAATAATTGAAATTTTGCAAAGAATTTTATTAAAATTTTTGAAAATAATTGAATTTTGACGAGAATTTTTTTTAATTTTTGAACATAATTGAATTTTTGCGAAGAATTTTATTACTTTTGAAAATAATTGAATTTCTGCAATCATTTGTAACTTCTCCGAAATTCAATTTTTGCCAGTTACTTAAATAAAAATCCCTGACTTTTCCCTGACAAATTTTACTTTCCCTGACTTTTTCCTGAATTCCCTGATTTCCCTGACCTGTGGTAAGCCTGAAAAAATTAAATTTTTTTAAAAAATAAAATTTAAAAAATGGTCAAAAAATTTTTTTTTCAGTTTTAATAATATATAATACTAAAATTCAAGGTTAATGCAACCAGTTGCATTAAAAGTTGCGATTTATTTTATAATTATGCAAAAATCAATAACTTTTCATAAATACATTAAAAAATGTTTAAATTTAAATACAAATGAATTGTAACTAGAACACAGTCGCGCTGAGTGAGAATAGAATTTACTTTATAATTCACTTTATTTATATCAAAATATGTTTATTCATATAAAATTTCTAGTAACTAAAATTCTATTCATCTTAATATGTAAACTCGTTCGAGTCGGAGACATTCGGAAATTTAAAGAAAACTTTGATAAAAGGGGTTGTTCATAAATCACGCAACATTTTGAGGGGAAGGAGGTCAGGCTATTGATTACGATAAGAGAAAAAATGACGCCAATATTTGTAACAATGTGTAATATAGGGAAGAGGGGTTAAAATTTCCAAATAAGAGGTCTACGTAGTTTCTCAACAACCCCAAATCGTCTAATTCAATAAATTCTAATTGCTTCAATTCACTAGATTAACCTGATTGATGTTGAACTATTCTGATTGTATCCAATATTGGATTAGTTGCAATTACCAACTGTTATCAAATTTAATGACCAAGAAATATTCAAGATATATGATAATTCAACAACTAACATCAAAGTCAATTGCATAGACTTTCATTGGTCTAAGAAGATCCATACAACATCGAAACAATTTAATTAATATCGAAAATTAATTCTTTCATTAATTTGAATTTCCTTTTCTTTTAACTCTATGTCTGCCTTTAGATTATAAATCTGTAAAACATAAGGTAAGGAGCCCCAAGGTGGCCATCCATCTTTTGAATGACTGTAATTTCTAAACGGTATTATATAACATAATTAACTAAATATTAAACTAATAAAATAACTTATTTAATAGTAACATACATCCTATTCAATGTAAAAAGGTTTGCAATTGTGATTCGTGAACAATTTACTAAAAAAAAACTTTTTCCTTACGCTGTCATGCAATAAGGTTAACACACTTGTTACAGAAACAACAGAATGCTTTAAAAACATTGCAGAGACCATTTAAAAAACTTTTAGCCAGTACGAATTAGTGAAAACAGACTTTTACATTTGCAATTTAATTTCCAACAGAGTAAAATAGATAATTCTTTATATACATTAAATATTTTTATTTAGATTCATTCATCACAGTTTGGTGAAATAATCAATTTTGTGTTAAGAGAAAGGTCTTAAAATAAATATTATGTAATAGTTACAGCATTTGCAGAAATTGAATAAAAAAAAGTCTCTTGATTAAAAACAGAAAATTATTTTTACGGGTGCTAGATAGATATTTAATGATATAATTTTAATAAAGTACAAGTTGATGTTTCAAAATTATTACATCGGACATGTAATTTGAATTTCCATGACTCTGGAAACCTGCAACTGTCAAGCTTAAAAAAAAATTAAAACATTTTTGATATGTAAATTTTCATATACATTTTGGAAATCTGATAATATTAATCTTGTTTCCAGTATAATTACTAATCTGAGTACGAAGAACATTAATTTTGATTTTGAAAAGTCGTTAAATGAAAGTCGTTAGATGAATATATGTCTGCTAGATAATAATTTAATGTCAATCAAATAAATCTCATATCCAGGAAAACGAGCAGTTAATTCATAAACTGTAATACGAGAGTAATATGAAAAGTGAATAGCTGAAAAGAGAAATAACGTGAAAATTATTATCAGTCTTGGAACACGCAACCTGTTGTTTATTATTCTTCAATATACAGGAAGAAGCAATAAAAAAAAATTGTGAGAAATTTATTTGATTAACTTTCAGTTGAGTGAGTTTATATATTTGTTGAAGCGAGTAAGTGTAATGAATGAAATTGGAGGACAGAAAATATTTAAAGCTATTGTTAATTGTTTGAGAATCAAAGGCAGAGTACAAGAGATAACTCTCGAATGCTCGATCCAGGATGCACAACAATAGCCATGTTAATATCGTTGTGTCGACCTCAACTGAAGTCTAGTCAAGCACGCGATCCAATAAATTTACTCGTGACAGTATCGTTTTACCAAAGAAGAAATGTAGCTCCACTTAACTGAAAGTAAGAAAGATTTTCATCTCAC